GCACGGCAATTCACGGCTTCCAGGTCATCTTGGGTGCATGGCTCTGGCAGGAGTGGGCAGACTAGCAGGTGTTCCATCGTCTATTCCTGGCCGCATTGACATGATGTTTGTTCATCTCCTAGACCCCATCTCTGCATTAGGACTCTGCATCGTCCGTAGCCAGTTCTTAGGCGGTTGAGGCTTAGCCAGGTAGGCCAAGTCTCACTGGAGCCGGATGCAAGGGATTTCTTCGGGCTGAGGGAGAGTTTATGTGGAGTGATCTGGAGGTGGTTAGACCACAAATTCATCCTTTGGTTGTGAGGGCTGGTATTAAGGGGATCTACAATGTGCAGAAAGCTGCGTCTGGATTGAGCCGCTTGCCCACTGGCTGTTGCTCGGAGAATGGGTGGAGTGTTGTTGTTGTTGTTGGTAAATGTTTTGTGGCGTTCATTCATATTGAATATATACGCCATAAATATCTTCAATTTTATAAGAAAATCAGTTATAGTCTTCATTAGAAAAATGAGAATAAAGATTTGTAATGAAATAGGTGGAGTGGAGTGGATTTTTCTCTTGTTTGTCCTTCTCTTTCTGGGACAAAACCAGCCTTCTGACGAGTGGAAGGGCGATACCGCAGAGCAGGTAGATGTCTTCTACTTTAGTTGGCCTACGGCAACCAGTGATCGCTCTGCAAGATGAATTTAGAGCTTGATCTATCTTGGATGCATGGGCCGACCTACTCCATACTGGTGAAGCATACTCCGCAGCAGAGAAGCAAAGCACGAGGGCTGTCGTCCGGATTGTTCTGGCATCAGCCCCCCAGTTTGTGTTGGCAAGCTTCTTGAGGATGCTATTGCGGGCTCCAACTTTTGCCTTTGTGTTGGCAATGTGGTTCTTGTAGGTTAGGGAGCGATCCAGTGTGATGCCTAGGTAGACTGAGTTGGGTGTGTGCTTCAGCCTTTTCCCATACCAGCTGATCCTAAGTTGATGGTTGGCATCCCTGTTCTTGACTTGGAATGCACTTATCTGAGTTTTATCAGGGTTAGCTCTCAGGTGGTTGGTCGCGTAGTATGGGATGAGTCCGGCCAGGGCACTACTAAGGATCATCGGCGTAGAGGAAGCTCCTGGTGTTTGGGTGGATCGGTTGGTCGTTCGTGTACATGGTAACGGGCAATGGTGCGAGCACACTTCCTTGTGGTAGGCCATTTTTCTGCCTGCGCCATCTGCTGCGATTGCCATTGAGGACCACAAAAAATCGCCGATTGGACAGCAACGTCTGGATGAGTCCAGTCAGTCTCACATTCTTTGTCAGCTCAAAGATCTTCCCGGTGAGGATTCTGTGGTTCACAGTGTCGTAGGCAGCAGAGAGATCAACGAAAGCAGCTCCGGTGATTAGCTTACTCTCATACCCGTCCTCAATGAACTGAGTGAGGTTTAGGAGTTGGCCAGTGCATGATTTTCCTGGCCTAAACCTTGCGTGTTCCGGAATGAGGTGTTCATCCACGAATGGGGCGATGCGGTTGAGGATAAGCCGCTCGAACAGCTTATATGTATGTCACAGTAGGGAGATAGGTCTTTAGCTCTTTGGGCTGACTGCGTCTTTGCCAGGCTTCAACAGGGCAATAACTTTGGATTTTCTCCAGAGCTTTGGGATGTTGTTGGTGCCCAAACATTCGTTAAACAATTTGAGGAGCCAGTTGAGGGCGCCTGGTCTAAGTTGTTTGATCTGCTCGCAGAGGATGTCATCAAGTCCGGCAGCTTTATTGTTTTTCATTGCTTTGATGGCAGCAAGCAGGTCGTTTATGGTGAACGGTTTAGTGAAGCCTGGGGCATTTTGAGAGTTTAGAGCGTCTGGGACCTTAGGGAGCCTGGCTCTTCTGGGGGTGATGGTCAGGGTTTCCCCGGCCATTCACTAGGAGTTGGTGGGCAACTTGGTTGGCAGTGACTTGAGATCTTGGTTGGGTCTTTGTATAGTCGTTGCCCAGTATCTGGATCGTTTTTCATGCTTTCCTGCTGCTATGTGTCATATCGGTGGATTGTATGAATTCCTGCCACTTGCTCCTTCTAGATTCACCAATTTCCTTGGTCAAATGTTCTCCAGATTCCAGTGTCTCCTCACTAAAAGGGTCCATCTGGAAGTGTTCGATGTAGTCTTCATACATCATCTTAAAAAGGTCAGTCAAGCCTTGAATGTAGCTTGTGCGACAGCCTCGGGGGATGTTATGCCTTGAGGATTTCTTCATCAACTCTACAAAGGTGTCGTAGTTTTTGGGGGTGGCAGGTAGGTCTTGGATGTAGGAGTCAAAGTCCTTAGCAAACTTTTCCCAGTTTGCCTTCCTCAGATTGAAGCGACGTCGTAAGGGTGCTGCTCGTGGAGTAATGACTGCATTAACCTTAAGCCCTATCGTCAGTAGCTCTGCCGGGCATGTCGAAAGGCTCAAGAGGTGGCTTGTACACTGAGCTTATGGTGATTCCCATAAGGTCAATAGAAAAGACTTCAATGTTATTGTCATCTGATAGGGAGGATTTGTCCACAGCAAGACCATTACGGGCAAAATTGCGCTTCCGTACTGGTCATGTGGTCTCTCTGCGATGAGGGTCATTCCGGGGATACGAGGGCGAACCCGTGTAGGCCCGCGATGAGTCTCCTGGAGGCAGAGAATGTCACAGCTGGTTGTTATGCATAGGTCAGCCAAGAGTTCTTGTTTGGCACCTGAAAGACCATTATTGTTGGATGAGATGATACTCAGGGCCGGTCCTGACAAGGACCCATGAGTTCGACCCTGAGCCCCAGCAACAAATTGGTCACCATTGTCATTGGTAGCCATGGTGTTGGCTGTGGTAGTTACTAAAAGAACTTGGGTAGTGTGGTTGAAGGATTGAATATGTTGATGACAAAAGACATTGCGGTACTTTTTATAAGGAACCGTCACATGGCAGTCACATGACAGATAAATTCATCAGTACCAGGCTTTATTATATGAAAGCTGAATTAGTACTCCCGTCCCTACCACCACCCTCCCTCTGTTCTCTCCCTCTCTTTCCCTTGCACAAAAAAAATCGAATTCCAAAACCCTTTAGGGGAAAGTAAGCATGGGATGATAATCAATAATGTGTTTTTTTACAATTCTAAATGTTAGCGAAATTATTAATGTGGTAATAATTAATACTTCATATAGGAAAAAAAGGGGGAAAAACATCAACAATAAAACAACAACAAAAAACAATGATTATTTTGTTAACGTTAGGAAGGGGTATGCATATTTTTATGTTAAAAAACTATTTGTCAGTAATTATGTTGATTTATTCCAAATATTTGTATTAAGTTTATGTTGGTTTCGTCATTGGAAATTAATAGTTTGCATTTCTCATCGACGTTTAGGTTTTGAAAGTCCGGTGCTATTTGTTAAGTTTAGAGTATATTTAGAAATTGTTTCGTTGAAGTGTGTTCATTTTGTTAGAAACTATATTTCATTTTCTATGTCAGTTTTACAAATGGGGCATATTCTATATATTAGTGATATTTTCTTTGTCCCCAACCTTCCTCAATCATGAAGTTACTATTGCTTATTCTTTTTGTGTGTATTTAGCTTCATGTGATTTATCAATACCGAGTAATAAATAGTTTTCCAATTCGTAATTTGTTTTTAAGATTTCATGTTCAAAAATTTTAAGAGTATTAAGTATTATTTTCATTTTGTGGATTGTCTTATATATATATATCTTGTAATTTGTTCAGTATAGCTTTCTTCAACATATTGATAGTAAATGTACAATGGTACTGCCAGATATGAGAGAATCCTAATAAGTTTTAACAAGATTTAATGTGGATGCCATATTTGATGTAAGTTTATTTTGCTTTCAAGGTAAGGTTGCTTTACTAAGCTTTTTCGGAGGGCTTTATCACGTGATGCCAGCAGCAAACAATATCTGCTATTGCTGTTCGTGCGAGGGGGGGGGGGGGGGGGGGTCGTCGGTTTCCGCTAGGATGGCGGTAAGCCGCTAATCATTGTTGATATATTGGTATCAATGATAGCTTCTTAAATTGTCAATCGTAGGGATTCGGGTAGGAATGTTTTGTAGCATCTGTCTTATTCTTACGTATCTTTTATCAATAAGCCCCATATTTCGGAATTGTTATGAAGGATTGGTTGTATACAGGTATCGAAAAGTGTTAAGTATGGTATGAAGGATATTCGATCTTTAGGGAAAATGTTTCGTAGGCTAAATACGGCTTTTGCGGGCTTTGTTGATTAGGTTTTTATCGCGTGTGTAAACGTGCATGATGGTGTGAAGATAAATGCAGGTGGAAGTTAACCCTTTCATTATTTTGTTTGGCCTGCAAATGGGACATAGTACCTTTAACAAAAATACTCTCAGAGTTTGATGTATATTGGCTCATTGAGTCACCTATTCAAAAAGGTAATCATTCTGCTAGACGCATAGAATGGTATGATTTATTGTTATGGCCTTGAAGTACAGATTTCTTGTGATTTAACACACCCAACAACGTTGGGTTCGTCCTATTTAATTCAGTGATTCTACATTGTGAGGTCTTTCAGTTGCTGCAAGTATCGCAACGCTCCATGACAGATGTCGAAGTATTTTGAGAGAGCACTAACTGCTCATCATTTTACAGGTGTTGTCATTGATTACCAATTGTATATTGTAAAGCCCATTGGGAGGGAATGATAGATTACTATTAATAAGCAGTTAAACGCATGTTTAATTATAAACACAGGCTATTCATTTTGTCATATGCACACGATTTACTCGAGAAATCATACAATTGTTTTTGTTATCGGGTCAGACCCTGTGGCAATTTGTTGTTTCAAATGAATATTTTTTCCTTTACTTTTTGCACATTACCTTCATTATTGTTCGGTTTTGCTTTCACAGGGTTTCGTTTTCTTTATAAATCGTAACACATCTAAGGAATAATCATGGTAGACAAGGATGCTCTGTTCGATGAACTGTCAAAAGAATTTCCATATGGAAATTATATAACCTTTTGCAATAAGATGGGCGTGAGCTACACTGTTGCTACGAACATGCAGAAGGCTAAAGAGGATACCACCGTGGCTCTGAGAGAACTACTATCTCAATGGGATCGAAGGATGAAGGGCGTCACCAGGAAACAACTCGAAGATGCCCTGAACGGAGCAGATGTCGGTGTACTCTGTTTAATTGTGAAAAAACATTATGAAAAGGGTAATATTCAGATATTCCTAATATGATCTATTTGTTTATAATTACATAGAATAATAAAATAACCTATTCATTTTACCGGTGTAAATTTTGCGATGATGCAAACTTGAACTAATCACACCATTGTGATTTCAACATAAATATAAAGTTAGATATCTTCTAAACATGCAGCAGTGTTTGGTACAACTTTCAGCTTTAAATTACGTCTGCAGTATACACAACCAAATTGCACTTGCTTTATATTGTTAGCAGGTTGAGCAGAAGTATAAAACAAGCGTGATTCGGAACAAAACCCATACTCAAAATTAAAAAACTCAATCCTCTTAGAATTCTAATTCTGACTTTGGTTGCAGTTCATGAAGAGCTATCAAAGAAACTGACTTGGAATAATGTCAAAATATTTATTACCCTTTTATCTATCGCAAACCGAGTATGTGTATATTTTTCTTGTTTGTTTCATGAATTAGAAAGGCATTTAAAATGCATATTTAAATAGATCAAAACAATGAAAAATAATAAAATGATAAAGTAATACGTAGTCTACTTGGTCTCTTTTCACAGCTTCCTGTAGCGTGATAGCCGCCACGCCAATGGTAGCCGGAGATGGCGCTGTTCAAGATACTACAAATCAGGTTATCAACCAATCAGACCGATCGGACTCAGTACAGACGAATGAAGGAGGTAACATACAAAGTCAACAGTCTCTATCTAATCAGTTTTTATTACACTTGGTTTTCTCGCTTCTGATTCTGTCTTCCTCTTCCTTTATTTAATTTGTATACTTCTGTCAATTCTTGATCTTTTCTTTCTTACCCCCAAACAAATTCACGTGAAAATCAAGTTAATATCAAGGGAATGACTTGAAGTGATTAATGTTCTTAAAACGCTTGAAATTTACGTGAGTGTTTTAATTCGTTGATTTCACTATGTCACTTACAAACACGGGCATCAAATCACGCAATTGTCACTGTATATAACCATTAGAATAACGTGATTTTCCCTGCTTTGGAGACCATGGTTTGTAAACCTAATACTCCCATTTTTGTTTGGCTATGAAATAACATCATCATAAACAAACTGACCACACGTTGTGAATTTCAACATGAATATAAAGTTAGATATGTTCTACACATGCATCAGTGTTTGGTACAACTTTCAGCTCTAAATTATGTCCGCAGTATACCCAACCAAATTGACCTTGTTTTATATATTGTTCGCAGGTTGAGCAACAGTAAAATAGGTTGATTCGGAACAAAATTCATACTCAAAATTAAAGACTCAATCCTCTTTAAATTCTAAATTTGATTTTGATTGCAATCAATGAAGAGCTGTCGAAGAATCTGGCCTGGCAACACTGTACAATATATTACACACTTTTACCTATCGAAAACCTGAGTATGTGTATACTTTTCATATTTGTTTTATGTATTATAAGGCATATTGCGATTACATAAAGGTATGTAAAATGCATTTGTAAATAGATTATAGCAATGATGAATTATAACATGATGAAGTAATACGTGGTCTACTTGGTGTTTTTTTGTTGTACAGCTTCCCGGAGAGCGGTAGCCACAACGGGAATGGTAGCAGGAGATGGCGCTGTTCACGATACTACAAATCAGTCTATCAACCAATCAGACAGATCGGACTCAGAACCTACGAATCAAGGAGGTAACATACAAAGTCAACAGCCTCTTTCTTATCAGTTTTTATCTCACTTATTTTTTTTCTGCTTCTGTTTTGCTCTTCCTTTATTTAATTGTATTTTTTGTCCGATTTCGTTTGAACTTTCGCCAGACTGATTTCTGTTTTTGTTCTGCTTCATGTCAGAGCAATGTTGGAGTTTTCCTTTTAGCGTATTTCTAGCCCGTTACTTCACGGGGAAGAGGAAAACGGTAGGAACAATGAAACTTGATGCATTCGAACAAGAAATAATTACTAACGGGACCATATTAAGTCGAAAAGGGAAGGGGCTGATATTGCGGGAGTGCAATAAGACATTTTGTATTATGCTTGTATCGTTTCAGATATCTACAGTGAGAAGATCTCGGAATCCTTGACTGTTCAGCAATGTCGCGAAAAGTTAGAGAAAAAGTACCTGAATCAACTGTGCAAAATTCAAATGAAGCCATGGGATCGCAATGACTATGCTGAGTTCGAAGATATGCACACGGTTGTCACAATGGTGAAGAAGGACGCTCGTGGAAAAGACACAAAAAAGAAGGAAATACTCCAGAATTCTGTAGCTGAAATATTTTCAACGAAAGTAAACGGCAAACTGCCAGCTCGAATCCTCATTTCGGCCCCGGCTGGACGAGGGAAGACCACGGCTGTTGCCAAGATGGCTTATGACTGGGTTAATAGAGAAAGGGGGTCAGCATTAGAACACCTGCCACTGTTGTTTGTTGTGAAATTCCGAAACACAAGTCAGCTTTCATCGATCGGAGAAGCCATCAAATCCCAGCTTTTGAGTGATGTTGATGATCTCACAAAAGAGGGTCTGGAGAGTTTCATCAGAAAGAATCAGGGCATCTGCCACATAATACTAGACGGACTAGATGAATATGCGGGTATTTCTTCTTCACAGCGAAGCTCAGAGAGCAATATTATCAAGGTCATCTGTTTGGAGGAATTTCCAGATTGTCGAGTCCTTGTAACAACACGCCCTCATCTAGAGAACTTCTTCGATCAAGATGATCTTCCAAGGGTATACACAAAGATGTGGATCGAAGGATTCTCGCGAGAGAGCTCATGCGAGTACATCAACAAGTTCTTTGCTTCGACTTCGAATCCTTCTAAGGGACAAAGTCTGAAGAATTACCTTGATGAGCAACCACTTATTGATGAACTTGTCAAGACACCCCTATTTTGTCTCATGATCTGTCACGTATGGAGTGAGGGCCTACTGGACAGTGGTACTACAACTCAAACAGAATTGCTGGACAAGGTGAATGTTTTTCTAATGCACTATGCAAACGAACGATCGAAGTCAAGTGTTAAAATCACACAAGAAAAGTTAAAGGAAGTAATTTATCAATTAGGCGAAGTTGCCCTTACTGGTCTTCTCGACGATGCCAAACAACTAGTCTTCACGCCTCATGACTTCCGTAAAGTTCCCGCAACCCTTGATATGGCATGTGAGCTTGGGATAGTATCCAAGACGACTGGTAACATCATGCGACTTCCTCAGTCCAACGAGACCACTTCCACTACCATTGAGTTTTATCACAAACTCGCCCAAGAACACTCCGCCGGGAAATTCCTCGCTGATCAAACAAACCGCTTTCTGTTACATTTAAAGATTTCCAAATTGGACAGAGTACTGCGCAAGATAAAATCAAACATATGTGACTACGAGAATCTTATCCGATTCGCTGCTGGCACTGACAACATCCTCTGTATACGAATAATGAAGGCGCTCCTTAAAAACAGCTTTTTGGATGAGAGCGAGCGTTATCGCATTCTCCTTGACTGTTCATCAGAGACCAAGGGTACTCAACAAAATGTATCTTCGATGGTTCAAAGATGTGTCAATGCAGAGAGGATTGTTCTGAAGTCACCGACTGTCTACACCGTCGTTGGGATGCAAAATCTTCCAAAGCAACTTAAACGTCAGGTTTGCACATTTTAATTTCACAAAATATGTTTACAATAAGCATTTCATTAAGATTGTTTAAATGTCCAATTCTCTGCTGCAACTGTAAGTCAAATATATAATGTATTTTTTATGTAAATGTATTCTTATTCATAATTAGGTGCATCGTGATAAGTCATACTGCATGATAAAACGCTCAATAAGTATGATACACTATTCTATGTTTGCCTATTACTACGGTCTCAATCAAGGTATTGCATAACAGTAACACGAACCATGATTTGAAACAAAATAATAACAAAATACTTATTTTTAAAAGGCCTTAGGGCCTATTCATTTTAATAGATAAAAGAGCGAGGGACATCCAATATAAGCATGTAGCCTATGTAAAACAAAGGATCTATTTATTTAACATCGAAGATAATAAATGTATTACTTATTAATGTAACAGATTATGGGAGGGACTTCCATTTACTGGACGGATACTATTCTGAGATAAGATCAGGATACAGTCTTGATTGCTTTAATAATTACCACAAACAACAAGAGATCAACTAATTAATGTTATTTTATTCGTACAATCTGTCTTTAATTCTTTCTTTTACTCTCTCTATCTTTCTATCTTAACACTAGGTAATGACTGTCATGTTCGAGGGATCTACTTTAGCTACCGACGTGACGACCGGACTATGGTCCTGCCTGGGATCATTTTCGATGCTACATACTCTCACCATCTCAGACTCCTCTCTCAGTTTCCATCCATCTACCCATGAGCTTCCATCCGTCACAAAGCTATCAGCCGAGAGAGTGACGTCACAAAGCTACGAATGTCTGCTCTCATCGCTCCCTGGCTTGAGAGATATCGATATCACTATCGATGATGCAGAGAGAGACATACCTCAGATCACGGCTGGTCTTCTTCGGAGCGGAGGACAGCAGCTCACACACATCGACCTTACAGCACCGTCAACACTCCCATCGGAGAAGACGAGTGTATCTACTGAAACGATGAGTGGACTGGGTCTTCTGATCGGAGAAGAAACCAAGAACCTGCAGTGGCTCATTCTGACTAGGGTGAAGTGCACAGACGAGGAAGACTTGGTTCAACTTGTCGAGTGTTGCAAAAATGTGAAGACGATGAATCATCTAATGTGAGTTTACTGTACACATGTTTAGTCAGTCAATAACACAAATAATACTCATAGTGTTGGTAGCCCCAGTAATAATAATAATTGATAACAATAATAATAAAATTTACAATACTAGTTATAATACTGGTAATAACCATTAATGATAACCTGATTTTAATGCTAAGGGTATATCAAACATCTTGCACTTCAGAAAGTGTTTTCGCTCTAGTTTACAATGGGCAATTGACACCTAGCCTATAATTAAAGGCGCCTAATTATGTTTGGTGAATTCATTTTAAATATACATATACCTGTCTTATTGGATGTTTACTATTGATTTGATAACTTTGTTCATGGTTTAAAGAGAAGATTGAGACTCTGTCAGCTGGAAAGTAGCAAATTCGCCAACCTCTTCTTCATGACATCGTATATAGATGATGTAAATTTCTCAAAGCTAGCAAGCGGTCTGAATGCCGTTATGTTTAGTATATGTATCATGTTCACGAAGAAAATGAGCCGGAAATATAACAAAACTAATTATTAACGATCATCGTGTTTTCTTGCATGTGTTCAGCTGGTTTATTTTGTTTCTGTTTATCACATAAGGCCCTACTCTTTTTTCTGATCTATTTAAATGACCTCCTTAATTCCTCAATAATTGATTGTTTGCAGCTGAATTGACCACTATTTTCCGCGGAGAAAATCTTGTTTTGATTTAGTAGTAATAACTGAGAATATCACATTTAATCAGTGGTGTGATGATCTTAAGACAATAATACAATTGTTAATATTATGACAAAATTACTGTATTAGTATGAAGCCGAAACGCATGTCCTTTCATGTAGAAGGGTCAGCCTATATGAACGAACATATTAGTGTTGAAAGAAGTGCATGTAGCTTCGTTCGTTGGGGTTCGTACTCATATGTATTTCACTTTGGTAGTTCATATCCACTCTGCGTGTATTGAACTCCGCATAGCAGTAGAAAATCTGTACGGAGGGCTACATTTTGTTCTGATCGGGCTTTTTCTGTTACTACCAGTGGCGTACGAAGGATTTTTTTCAAGGGGGGGGGGGGGGTAAAATGAGGTCAAAAATTTCGCAACGACTCAGCCAGCCGCTGAATAAGGGGGGGGGGGGGTGGGGGGGGGGGGAGAGGACACTTTCTTTTTTGGTCCCGAAATTTTGTTCCGTTTTGAAAGGGGGTGGGGTAACGTCACCTGTTTTAGGTCATCCATTGGCATTTTTTAATTTTTTTTATCACATGTTCTTTGAGTCCATTTGTTGCAAGCATAAATCATGTGTTATGCAAAGACATCACGTGTGGGCTTATTATAAACGGAAATGGGCATCTTTCAAAGTTGAATGGTCACTTATCAAATCTCAGCAGGGGCATTTCTCATACCTAGAAAGCAGCACTCATCAGGGATGATAAGGGGCACTTCTTAGAACGAAAATAGCACTTATTAGACTGGCCATAGTCACTGGGGCAATTATTTATTATGTAAAATAATGAAAGGAGAGAATGTGGATATAACTGTAAAACAGTTCGAAAATCAGGCAGATAATTCCTTGCATTTAGATTTTGTCTGTCTAAGATATTTAGAGTGTAATGAACATAAACATTCTTTTGATTTGAACTTAAATTTCCTTATATCCATAGAAAATGTCATTTTCAGAGGATGCTCTGATTTTGATACGTTTTCATTTTTTCACTTATTGTAGTACTCCTAAAAGAAGGAAGGTAGAGAAAATTTTATGTTTAGAGGATGCTCAGATTTTGATACGTTTTCATTTTGTAACTTATTGTAGTACTCCTATTAAGAAGGAAGGTAGAGAAAATTTTATGTTCAGAGGATGCTCTGATTTTGATACGTTTTCATTTTTTTTCTCACTTATTGTAGTACTCCTAAAAGAAAGAAGGTAGAAAAATTTTATGTACAGAGGATGTTCTGATTTTGATACGTTTTCATTTTGTAACTTATTGTAGTACTTCTTAAAGAAGGAAGGTAGAGAAAATGTTATGTTCAGAGGATGTTCTGATTTTGATACGTTTTCATTTTGTAACTTATTGTAGTACTCCATAAAAGAAGGAAGGTAGAGCAAATTTTATGTTCAGAGGATGTTCTGATTTTGATACGTTTTCATTTTTTGCACTTATTGTAGTACCCCTAAAAAGGGGAAAGATTATGAATCAAAGTTGTCAGAAGTAAATTTTCATTATACTTCCAGTCTCTGAATTGTTGTTTATCTTTTAATTTTCTTATGTTTAAAAAAAAAAGACTGAGGTATTTGTTTTTGTGAAGGATTCTAAGGATCTGAGGATTCTAAAAGTCATATTTTTGACTTGCAAGACAGCAACATTACACTCATTTAGTTCATTGGCAGTGGAGAATAGTACTTTTAGTTTAGTTCTGGATGCAGGATTTGGCAACGCTAAAGAATGTATTCAGATGTAAACTGTAGATCTCATAAGAAACCATGCGCATACCTTCAACAGGTGTCTTCCTTTGTAAATTTCAATAAGCCTTTATAGAAATGTACTTGCTTGAACTCTTGAACTTAAGATGTTGCACCATCTATCTCTATCTCTCTTTCTGTTACACTCCCTGCTATATAAATTAATGTAAATCGTTGCTCTCGTATTTTAAAGGGTCTTGAGAGGATTTATTTTGGCCACAATGCTGTTGCCCGTGGCTTGTCGGTCGTGTCGTTACTCGACCTTTGTGTTTGATGTTTGTGTTTTTGTATGTGTGTTAGTTGTATTTATATTGAAAAAATCTTCCACAGGTAGTTCGTCGTCTTTTTTCGTCTCGGTACTCTCGTCTGATGCAGGGTGACATTACTTTTATTTCAATGAATTTTCACGGCCTAGCAAATGATAAGAAAAGAGAAGATGTTTTGTTATATTTGAAATCTAAACAATATGATGTATGTTTTATTCAAGACACCCATTTCACTCCTGACATAGAAACAGAAATATGTCGCAAATGGGGAGGCAAGTGTTTTTTCTCTTATCATACATCCAGCTCTAGAGGAGTAGCAATTTTGTTTAAGGATGCTATTCCGGTCAAAGTTAATCAAAGTAGAATAGACAATGGTGGAAACTTAGTAGTTTTAGATTTGACATTATATGAGTACGACATTACACTGGCGTCTTTATATGGCCCGAACACTGATAATTCAACTTTTTATACTGATTTACAACGTATCATAACAGAGTTCGAAAATCCACATGTTGTTATTTGTGGAGACTGGAATTTAGTGCAGGACCAGACCCTTGATACTCATAATTATGTTCATGTAAATAATCCTAGGGCGAAACAGCAGGTTAAAAATATGAAGGACGAATTAGATCTATGTGACCCATGGAGAATTAGATATCCTCTGAAAAAATATTACACGTGGCGCCAGCCGAACCCTTTTAAACAAAGTAGATAAGACTTTTTTTTATATATCATCAAAATTACTATCATTAGTTCATAAATCTGATATTTTATCTGGCTATCGAACAGATCACTCATTAGTTCGTCTTAGCTTGTCTTTAAATAAAATTAAACGGGGTCCAGGAATTTGGAAATTTAATAATTCTCTATTAAAAGATGAAAATTTTGTGTCAAAAATTATAAAAATTATAAAAGAGACAATTACATTTTATGCAAAAGATGAGGTAGAGTTTGATGAAAACGATAACATAGTTGGAAATTGTGAATTGTCTATCAATGACCAATTATTTTTTGAAACTTTGATAATGCTATTGCGGGGTGAATCTATATCCTATGGCTCGTTCATTAAGAAGCAAAACATCAGTCGGGAAAAGAAACTGGAAAGAAATATCGAAGTACTGGAACAAAGACTAGTGACATCGAATGATAAGACCGCATTAATAAAAGAATTAAGTGACAAAAAATCACAACTTGAAACCTATCGCTTAAAAGTAAATGATGGAATTATCATGAGATCTAGAATCAAATGGATGGAGCTGGGAGAAAGGTCATCAAAATATTTTTTAAACTTGGAAAAACAGAATAAAGTAAATAAAGAAATACGGCAATTGTCAACAGAAAATGGAGATGTTATTAGTGGACAAGATGGTATATCTAACGAAATCTTTAAATTTTATTCAAACCTATATAAGGCGAAAGACACTGAAGAGGTAGACATAGACACATTATTAAACTATCCAGATATTCCTAAGTTAACTCCAGAATTGTCCACATTATTAGAAGGTCCTTTGAGTGAAAGTGAGGTTTGTTTATTGCTAAAAAGTATGAAAAATAATAAATCCCCTTGACAAGATGGCTTCACCGTTGATTTTTTTCTTTTCTTTTGGCAATATCTTAAAACGTTCATTATCAGATCTTTGAACATTTGCTTATTTTACAGGAGAATTGTCGCAGTCACAAAAATTAGGAATTATCACTTTAATTTCTAAAGGAAACAAGCCTCGACATTTATTAAAGAATTGGCGTCCTATTTCACTTTTAAATGTTATATACAAAATAGCATCTGGGTGCATAGCTAATCGATTAAAGCAAGTATTGCCCCGCTTGATACATGAAAATCAAAAAGGATTTTTGAAAGGCCGTTTTATCGGAGAAAATATTCGTTTACTTCATGATATATTATTATATAACGAACTTAATGATATTCCAGGCATGTTGTTGATGATTGATTTTGAAAAGGCCTTCGATTGTATATCTCACAAGTTTCTTATCAATGTCCTTGACTTTTTTCATTTTGGGCCATCGCTTAAAAAATGGATTAATCTATGTTATCAAAATGCTTCTTCTCGTGTCACAGTAAATGGTTTTTGCACAGAAAGATTTACTATAGGACAAGGGTGTCGTCAAGGAGACCCATTATCTCCATATCTGTTTTTACTTGTTAGCGAAATATTAGGAATTTTGATTAGACATTCCAATGATTTAATTGGCTTGCATCTACAGGGAAAAAATTGTAAACTACTACAATACGCAGATGACACCATTTTGACACTTAACGGTACAAAAGAAGATTTACAGAGCTCACTAAAAATATTGGGTGATTTTGAAGAAATGTCAAACCTAAAGATCAATATTACAAAAACTCATGTGATATGGATTGGGAAAAATAGAGCCTGCAAAAAACAGCTAATGCCAGAGCACAAACTAAATTGGGTATCAGAAGGTTATTCGAGATACTTAGGAATAGATTTTTCGGTTAACTTAGTAGAGATGGTAAATCATAATTATACTGAAAAAAATAAAGATATAAAACGCCAAATTATTTCATGGTCCAAACGAACCTTAACTGTCCTCGGAAGAATAACTGTAGTCAAATCTTTGTTGGTGCCAAAATTGAACTATTTGTTGCTTTCACTTCCAGAACCGAATTCGCAAATTATGAAAGAGATAAATCGTTCTTTGTATGCATTTATATGGGGTAACAAACCTGATAAAATCAATAGAGAACAAATGTGTCAACTGTATAATAAAGGTGGGGTTAATATGATTGATATTTACATGCATGCTAAATCCCTGAAAATATCATGGATTAGAAGATTTGTAACTAATTCTCAGATAAAAAGTTTCACTTTTCACATGTTCAATTCATTCTTGCCCCAAACCTATTTTTTTCACCTGTAAATGGGCTCACATTATTTTAGAAAATTAGCAGACTTGACTCCAAATCCATTTTGGAAAGAGGTCCTTTTCGCTTGGTCAGACTTGGTCGAACTTCTTATTGACGACATTGCAAGTCAACCTCTCTGGAATAACCCCCACATTAAAATAAATGACAAAGTGGTATTTTGGGGGGCTTGGAATTTACGAGGAATACGTTTTGTGAATGACATCCTAAAAATAGATGGTTCTTTTTGTTCATATTTTGAGTTTCAACGGAGATTTGACATACAAACAAATCTCCTCCAGTACTATGGTCTTTGTAATGTAATTCGGTCAGGTTTTAAAATGACTACACATGTAGCTCCTAGTAAGGCCTTAGCACCTATCATTCCCGAAGCCGTGCACCTTAAGGTGAAATCAAATGTTGGTTGTTCACATAATTATCAGTCTTTGCTAAAAAACAAAGTAAAAGAATGTAAAGCCCTTACAAAGTGGAAAAGTTTTTTAGATTTTCAAGATGTACTTTGGGGTTCGTACTGTCAAATTCCATTTCAGTCATCAATAGATATCAACGTGAGGTGGTTTCAAATTAAGATTTTAAATAGAATATTATATATGAAGGACAGTTTGTTAAGATTTGGTGTAGTGGCTGACAAGAAGTGTACTTTTTGTAGTAACAATGATGAAACTATCATACATGTTTTTTGCTTTTGTAACTATTCTAATGAAGTATGGTCGAAGTTAGAGTTCTGGATATTTCGTAATACGGGGGAAAGGATCAAATTTACAAATCAAAATAAATTGTTTGGATTTTGCGGTAGCAATAATAATGCACTCAACTGTGTTCTGATGGTTGTAAGACAAGAAATATTTTCAGCTAAATTACGAAATCAACTACCATCATTTGATATAATTTTATCAGCTGTAAAACGTTATTATGAAATGGAAAAATATATATATCAAACAAATCTCAGAGAGAATAAACTAAAAAAGAAATGGTTTCACTTTAGAAAATATTTTGAGAGTGTTGGAAATGTGCTAACATAAACATGATCATGTATTTTATGTTTGGTATTTTTTTTGAATTATATATTCAAAGTACTAATTTGTCATAAATGTTTGTTTTTATCTGCCACAAAAGTTTTTGGCCGTGATGATTATTATCTGTGTCAAGCCATTATGTATGGAAATTATTTCTTTAATTATTTGTATATGATATATGGATGTTCTGTATATGATGAAATTTGTTTTGAAAATAAAGAACCCTGTGGAAGGGGGAAAAAAAATTATTTATTATTTTTTAATCAAGTTTTATTTAAAATAGAGGGTAGGTACATTCATAACAAAACACATAAATAATATTCAGGTGATCGGTACACTTTAACCGTTCATGTAATCATCTACAAATGGATTTAATTAACATCTTCTTTCCATTTCTCTCTTTTTAACCCAATTTACACATTATTTTTATGTTGCAGGCTTCTTGGCTGTGGTACAAACGCAGACGGTAGACTAAGCCGTCACATCACTGGTCTTCACAATCCAAAGAAGTCACTCGGGGTGATTGCCTTGCATGTAAGTTACTTACTAAGTATATCGATTGCTACATGAATACAAGGGTTCTGGGACAATTAACTATTGGACAATCATCCCCCGGCCAATTACAAACGGGACAATTAATCCTTAACCCTAATAAGGGCGGGGGGGCATTATGCCCCCCCCCTCCACGATTTTCCCGATTGCTCGGGAACGCATATGGATGGCGCCCCGCCGCTCGCTGACTTTTTTCTTTCGAGTCTTGCGCAACTGTTGAAATAATTTTTTTGAAAATCGAACCTACGGTTACAAGGTCACGTGACCTTTTGTCTTTGCATGTCAGCCTGAAAATCGCTCATTTTCGTGATTTGTGTACAAAACATATGGAAAAGTCATTTTTCCTAAAAACAGATCAAACATGGGTTATTGGGTCTTGTTTAAAGTTTAGGTGGTTGTTTTTGAAGTCAAAATAGTTGAATTGTAGTAAGAAATGAAATAAAACAACAAAAACAATGAAATACATAAGTTAAAAAAACAATGAAATACATATTTAAAAAAAACAATGAAATACATAAGAAATTATCAAAACAAGGGATAATATAAGGAATAAGCTGGCTCTTCCAAATTTTTTGTCGTATTGTTATTGAGAATGGTCTAATGAATATATGTAGTGAAAAAGAATGCTTAAATATGAATAATATATGATTTATGGGTAAAAATGTGATTTTTATGACTTTATTTGCATAAATTACCATAAATATGCAAATGAGTGAATTTTTCAAAAAATTGAAATTATCATATTATTTTATACACTTCACTTGACATGCGTGCAAATTTTGGCGGCAATCGGCCGCTTTGCGGCCGAGATCTTAAGGGGAGCCATAATGGCCCCCCCCCCCCCGGCCCTACTAAGACCTCAAATAGCCCGGCCTTTTTAGGGTTAAGGACAATTACCCCCCCCCCCCCCGAAAATTACACTCTCGGACAATCATCCCCTCCCCAGGACAATTAACCCCCGAAACAATTTAAACCGAAGTATTATCACGGGTGAACTTTAAAGGTGGTAATTTTCCAGGGGGGAGGGGGGGGGGGGTAATTATCATAGGGGCTGATTTTCAGAGGTAGGGGGTAAATGTCCTCGAGGGTAATTTTCGGATGGTAATTGTCCTTAGGGGAATGTTGTCCTTGGGGGTAGTTTTCCGGGCGTGATTGATTAGGGGGTAAATGTCCTGATACGGAATGCAAGTACATCTTTAAACAGTGTAACATAAATTTATTTAAATGTATATCATGTGTATATCGTGCTTGAAAAATATAGTGGCATCCTTTTTATTGTTATAGTATATTGGATGTAGGTGCTGCATGTACATGTAAACTACAATATTATAAGATTATGCTTTCGATGACCCTACATTAATAAAAGATTGACAATAAAATTGAAAACATAAAAACAAACCGTGAATTGCCGGTATGTTCAGGGCCATCCACCAACCCACCGCTCCGTCATTTAATGCAATAAAGAGACAGGTTGCCTGTGTACATGAAAAAATAAGCCATTCGCAGATCAAAATTTAATGTATGTAATACAAAGAGATTGATCTATTGGCCATATTTATTTATATCATCTTTACCGTTTTATTTAAAGCAGGCTTTCCTCTTTAGTTTAAAAAACTGCTATCCCTGAGCGCTCTCCACAATAAAACAACGCATATAATTTATGTGTCGACCTGGTTAACTCATAAATAGCACACTAAACAAAAATAAGGAAAACAAAGATTAATAACATAACAAAGATATAATATTATGAATTCAAGATATTGTAAACAGTCACTAATTTTGAGCATATAGTATGATCAAAACATTCAGTCGGTAAATTATTTAATTGTCCAATAACTGATTACAGCCGTTGAAAACAAAATGAGGTAATAGACAGAAGAATAATATATGGGGATAGATTGAGGAAAAGCAAAGAAAGCTGGTAAAGATAGAGCGAAAGAGGAGAAGAGAGAAAGAGAGGAAGAGGGAGGGGGAGGGAGAACAATGTACGTGGGTAACATGAAACATGAGTCAGCTAAAACGGATGCCTCTAGAAAAGTGTACATGTACTTAACAGAATACACGGGGGGATGAAGGAGATCAGAGAAGGAGCTAGAAAGAAAGGAACAAAAAGAGAAAGGCAGCTAAACATTTGAGTGATGGGACTTATATCTGCTCGGCATTTAAGTGATTCCATTGTTTTGTACGGAAATCCATTACTATATTTTGCCAGAGTTACACAGGCGAATGTTGCTGTCTGACTTGTTAATTTTGCATATAATTTTCAAATGGGAATAGCTTATTGGTCGATTTTAATCAAGAAACATTGTTTTACAGCTTAATTAATATCTTGACATTGTGAGGGAGTTATACTACATAAAGATGTTTGTGGAGTCATTGTACGTTGGGACTTCATCACAGCAAAGTTCAAATGTGTTTATATTTTGTGTAAAGTTTGCGTAATGTTTATTCTGGCTACGTGGATCTGAAGTTGTTGTTGTTTGTTTTCTTCTTTTTATTACAACCCGTAACCTTCTTGTCGTAGAATAACGGTCAAAGGGCTCTCAATTAGACCAGACATTTTGTTACAGAAAGATACATTCAGGGAGATAATGGTTTCGTGAAGTGGAGAGTACATGTATGTAAAAAGTCTACTCACTTATTTTGCGCCCTTTTCGGCGCGTTTGAGAAAGCTCGGTATGAATGATCGATGTTACTTTACTTATCTGATAATTAAGATTGTGTATTCATGGATGTGTTTGGAAAGTGAATTTTACAATCGCATCGAATAAATGGGCGGCTCCTAGTCGTCGGGCAAGCAATAACTAATGATAGTTTACAGTGTATAAGTGTGTTTAATGTGTTTAGAATGCACGTAAGGTTCTAGCTCTGGGATAAGGTTTTAAAGGGGTGAATGGATTAGGAAAAATTTGAAGAAGTTATAAAATAGAACACTCGTTTCATGAGGGGAGAAGGCAGTGATTTTTGTAAAGAACATGTATAGCACTAATTTAATAGAATAGTTTTTTGGAAGGCTTCTGAACTCTAATGTCAACTTAAAATCGAAGGTGCATTCCTATAAATTCTACCCATTTCCAATATGTGTTGTTTATTATGTGGCTGACATATTAAATTACTTTCTAATTCCAGGATGATGGTCAACTCCTTGTAGAGAAATGCCAGCTATCTACCGAAATGACCGAGAAGTTATGGTCCTGTCTTAGATCATTCACCTCACTGAACCATCCCACCATCTCAGACTCCTCTCTCAGTTTCCCTCCATCTCCTCCTAAGCTTCTATCGGTCACAAAGCTATCAGCCGAGAGAGTGACGTCACAAAGCTATGAAGGTCTGCTCTCATCGCTCTCTGGCTTGAGAGATATCGATATCACTATCGATGATGCAGAGAAAGACATACCTCAGATCACGGCTTGTCTTCGTCGGACCGTAGGACAGCAGCTCACACGCATCGACCTTACAGCACCATCATCACTCCCATCAGAGAAGAACAGAGTATCGAGAGAGACGATGAGAGGACTGAGTCTTCTGATCAGAGAACAAACCAAGAACCTGTATTGGCTCATTCTGACCAGGGTGAAGTGCACAGACGAGGAAGACTTGGTTGAACTTGTCGAGTGTTGCAGAAATGTGAAGACGATGAATCATCTAATGTGAGTTTATGGTACAAATGTTTAGTCAGTCAATAACACAAATAATACTCATAGTGTTGGTAGCCCCAGTAATAATAATAATTGATAACAATAATAATACAATTAACAATACTAGTTATAATACTGGTAATAACCATTAATGATAACCTGATTTTAATGCTAAGGGTATCAAACATCTTGAAATTCAAATGGTGTTTTCGCTCTAGTTTACAATGGGCAATTGACAACTAGCCTACAATTAAAGGCGCTTAATTATGTTTGGTGAATTCATTTTAAATATACATGTACCTGTCTTATTGTATGTTTACTATTGATTTGATAACTTTGTTCATGGTTTAAAGAGAAGATTAAGATTCTGTCAGCTGGAAAGTAGCAAATTCGCCAACCTCTTCTTCATGACATCGTATATAGAGGATGTGAATTTCTTAAAGCTAGCAAGCGGTCTGAATGCCGTTATGTTTAGTATATGTATCATTTTCACGAAGAAAATGAGCCGTAAATATAACAAAACTAATTATTAACGATCATCATGTTTTCTTCAATGTGTTCTGCTGGTTTATTTTGTTTCTGTTTATCACATAAGGCCCTACTCTTTTTTCTGATCTATTTAAATGACCTCCTTAATTCCTCAATAATTGATTGTTTGCAGCTGAATTGACCACTATTTTCCACGGAGAAAATCTTGTTTTGATTTAGTAGTAATAACTGAGAATATCACATTTATTCAGTGGTGTGATGACAATAATACAATTGTTAATATTATGACAAAATTACTTTATTAGTATGAAGCCGAAACGCATGTCTTTTCATGTAGAAGGGTCAGCCTATATGAACGAACATATTATTGTTGAAAGAAGTGCATGTAGCTTCGTTCGTTGGGGTTCGTATTCATATGTATTTCACTTTGGTAGTTCATATCCACTCTGCGTGTATTGTACTCCGCATAGCAGTAGAAAATCTGTACGGAGGGCTACATTTTGTTCTGATCAGGCTTTTTCTGTTACTACCAGTGGCGTACGAAGGATTTTTTTCAAGGGGGGGGGGGTTAAAATGAGGTCAAAATTTTCGCAACGACCCAGCCAGCCGCTGAATAAGGGGGGTGGGGGGTGGGGGGGGGGGGAAGAGGACACTTTCTTTTTTGGTCCCGAAATTTTGTTCCTTTTTGAGAGGAAGTGGGGTAACGTCACCTGTTTAGGTCATCCATTGGCATTTTTAATTTTTTTTATCACATGTTCTTTGAGTCTATTTGTTGCAAGCATAAATCATGTGTTGTGCAAAGACATCACGTGTGGACTTATTATAAACGGAAATGGGCATCTGTCAAAGTTGAAGGGTCACTTATCAAATCTCAGCAGGGACATTTCTCATACCTAGAAAGCAGCACTCATCAGGGATGATAAGGGGTACTTCTTAGAACGAAAATATCACTTATTAGACTGGCCATAGTCACTGGGGCAATTATTTATTTATTTATTATTTATTTACTCAAGTTTTATTTAAAATAGAGGGTAGGTACATTCATAACAAAACACATAAATAATATTCAGGTGATCGGTACACTTTAACCGTTCATGTAATCATCTACAAATGGATGTAATTAACATCTTCTTTCCATTTCTCTCTTTTTAACGCAATTTACACATTATTGTTATGTTGCAGGCTTCTTGGCTGTGGTACAAACGCAGACGGTAGACTAAGCCGTCACATCACTGGTCTTCACAATCCAAAGAAGTCACTCGGGGTGATTGCCTTGCATGTAAGTTACCTACTAAGTATATCGATTGCTACATGAATACAAGGGTTCTGGGACAATTAACCATTGGACAATCATCCCCCGGCCAATTACAAACGGGACAATTAATCCTTAAGGACAATTACCCCCCCCCCCTGAAAATTACACTCTCGGACAATCATCCCCTCCCCAGGACAATTAACCCCCGAAACAATTTAAGTATTATTACAGTGAACTTTAAAGGTGGTAATTTTCCAGGGGTGGGGGGGGGGGGGGGTAATTATCATAGGGGCTCATTTTCAGAGGTAGGGGGTAAATGTCCTCGAGGGTAATTTTCGGGTGGTAATTGTCCTTAGGGGGATGTTGTCCTTGGGGGTAGTTTTCCGGGCGTGATTGATCAGGGGGTAAATGTCCTGATACGGAATGCAAGTACATCTTTAAACAATGTAACATAAATTTATTTAAATGTATATCATGTGTATATCGTGCTTGAAAAATATAGTGGCATCCTTTTTATTGTTATAATATATTGGATGTAGGTGCTGCATGTACATGTAAACTACAATATTATAAGATTATGCTTTCGATGACCCTACATTAACAAAAGATTGACAATAAAATTGAAAACATAAAAACAAACCGTGAATTGCTGGTATGTTCAGGGCCATCCACCAACCCACCGCTCCGTCATATCATGCAATAAAGAGACAGGTTGCCTGTGTACATGAAAAAATAAGCCATTCGCAGATCAAAATTTAATGTATGTAATACAAAGAGATTGATCTATTGGCCATATTTATTTATATCATCTTTACCGTTTTATTTAAAGCAGGCTTTCCTCTTTAGTTTAAAAAACTGATATCCCTGAGCGCTCTCCACAATAAAACAACGCATATAATTTATGTGTCGACCTGGTTAACTCATAAATAGCATACTAAACAAAGATAAGGAAAACAAAGATTAATAACATAACAAAGATATAATATTATGAATTCAAGATATTGTAAACAGTCACTAATTTTGAACATATAGTATGATCAAAACATTCAGTCGGTAAATTATTTAATTGTCCAATAACTGATTACAGCCGTTGAAATCAAAATGAAGTAATACACAGGAGAATATTAAATGGGGATAGATTGAGGAAAAGCAAAGAAAGCTGGTAAAGATAGAGCGAACGAGGAGAAGAGAGAAAGAGAGGAAGAAGGAGGGGGAGGGAGAACAATGTACGTGGGTATTACATGAAACATGAGTCAGCTAAAACGGATGCCTCTAGAAAAGTGTACATGTACTTAACAGAATACACGGGTGGGGATGAAAGAGATCAGAGAAGGAGCTAGAAAGAAAGGAACAAACAGAGAAAGGCAGCTAGACATTTGAGTGATGGGACTTATATCTGCTCGGCCTTTAAGTGATTCCATTGTTTCGTACGGAAATCCATTACTATATTTTGCCTGAGTTACACAGGCGAATGTTGTGACTTGTTAATTTTGGATATAATTTTCAAACGGGAATAGGTTATCAGTCGATTTTAATCAAGAAACATTGTTTTACAGCTTAATTAATATCTTGACATTGTGAGGGAGTTATACTACATAAAGATGTTTGTGGAGTCATTGTACGTTGGGACTTCATCGCAGCAAAGTTCAAATATTTTGTGTAAAGTTTGCGTAATGTTTATTCTGGCTACGTGGATCTGAAGTTGTTGTTGTTTGTTTTCTTCTTTTTATTACAACCCGTAACCTTCTTGTTGTAGAATAGCTGTCATAGGGCACTCAATTAGAACAGATATTTTGTTACAGAAAGATACATTTAGGGAGATAATGGTTTCGTGAAGTGGAGAGTACGTGTATGTAAAAAGTCTACACACTTTAATATTGTGCGCCCTTTTCGGCGCGTATGAGAAAGCTCGGTTTGTATGATGGATGTCACTAAAGATTGTGTATTCATGGATGTGTTTGGAATGTAAATTCTACAATCGCATCGAACAAACGGGCGGCTCCTAGTCGTCTGGCGAGCAATAACTAAAGATATTTTACAGTGTAGAGTATACCGGTGTGTTTAGTATGTAAGTAAGGTTCTAGCTCTGGGATAAAGTTTTAAAGGGATGAATGGATTAGGAAAGAGTTAAAGAAGTTATACAAAAGAACGCTCGTTTCCTGAGGGGGAGAGGGCAGTAATTTATTTAAAGGACATGTATAGTATTTAATATAATTTTTATTTATTTTTGGCTTCTGAATTCTAATGTCAACTTAATATACCAAGGTGCCTTTCTTTAAATTCTAACCATTTCCAATATGTGTTGTTTATTATGCGGCTGACATATTAAACTACTTTCTAATTCCAGGATGATGGTCAACTCCGTGTAGAGAAATACCAGCTATCTACCGAGATGACCAAAAAGTTGTGGTCCTGTCTTAGATCATTCACTTCACTGAACCGTCTCACCATCTCAGACTCCTCTCTCAGTTTCCCTCCATCTCCTCCTGAGCTTCCATCCGTCACAAAGCTATTAGCTGAGAGTATGACGTCACAAAGCTATGGAGGTCTGCTCTCATCGCTTCCTGGCTTGAGAGATATCGATATCACTATCGATGATGCAGAGAGAGACATACCTCAGATCACGGCTTGTCTTCGTCGGGCCGGAGGACAGAAGCTCACGCAAATCAACCTTGTAGCACCGCCATCACTCCCATCAGAGAAGAAGAGTGTATCGAGAGAGACGATGAGAGGACTGGGCCTTCTGATCAGAGAACAAACCAAGAACCTACAATGGCTCTGTCTGTCTAGAGTGAAGGGAACAGACGAAGAAGACTTCGTTGAACTCGTCGAATGTTGCAAACATGTGAAGACGATAAATCATCTAATGTGAGTTTATTGTACAAACCTTTAGTAGGTGAATAATATTAATAATCATAATGTTGGTAGCCCCAATAATAATGATAATAATAACAATAATAATAAAATTAACAATACAAGTTATAATACTGGTAATAGCCATTAATAATAACCTGATTTTAATGCTAAGGGTATCAAACAACTTGCACTTCAGATGGTCTTTTTGCTCTAGTTTACAATGGGCAATTGACACCTAGCCTTTAACTAAAGGCGCTTAATTATGTTTGGTGAATTCATTTTAAATATACATGTACATGTACCTGTATTATTTGATGTTTACTATTGATTTGATAACTTTGTTCATGGTTTAAAGAGAAGATTGAGACTCTGTCAGCTGGAAAGTAGCAAATTCGCCAACCTCTTCTTCATGACATCGTATATAGATGATGTAAATTTCTCAAAGCTAGCAAGCGGTCTGAATGCCGTTATGTTTAGTATATGTATCATTTTCACGAAGAAAATGAGCCGGAAATATAACAAAACTAATTATTAACGATCATCGTGTTTTCTTGCATGTGTTCAGCTGGTTTATTTTGTTTCTGTTTATCACATAAGGCCCTACTCTTTTTTCTGATCTATTTAAATGACCCCCTTAATTCCTCAATAATTGATTGTTTGCAGCTGAATTGACCACTATTTTCCGCGGAGAAAATCTTGTTTTGAATTAGTAGTAATAACTGAGAATATCACATTTAATCAGTGGTGTGATGATCTTAAGACAATAATACAATTGTTAATATTATGACAAAATTACTTTATTAGTATGAAGCCGAAACGCATGTCTTTTCATGTAGAAGGGTCAGCCTATATGAACGAACATATTAGTGTTGAAAGAAGTGCATGTAGCTTCGTTCGTTGGGGTTCGTACTCATATGTATTTCACTTTGGTAGTTCATATCCACTCTGTGTGTATTGAACTCCGCATAGCAGTAGAAAATCTGTACGGAGGGCTACATTTTGTTCTGATCAGGCTTTTTCTGTTACTACCAGTGGCGTACGAAGGATTTTTTTCAAGGGGGGGGGGGGGGGGGGGTTAAAATGAGGTCAAAAATTTCGCAACGACTCAGCCAGCCGCTGAATAAGGGGGGGGGGGATGGGGGGGGGGGGGGGAGAGGACACTTTCTTTTTTGGTCCCGAAATTTTGTTCCGTTTTGAGAGGGGGTGGGGTAACGTCACCTGTTTTAGGTCATCCATTGGCATTTTTTTATTTTTTTTATCACATGTTCTTTGAGTCCATTTGTTGCAAGCATAAATCATGTGTTATGCAAAGACATCACGTGTGGACTTATTATAAACGGAAATGGGCATCTTTCAAAGTTGAATGGTCACTTATCAAATCTCAGCAGGGGCATTTCTCATACCTAGAAAGCAGCACTCATCAGGGATGATAACGGGCACTTCTTAGAACGAAAATAGCACTTATTAGACTGGCCATAGTCACTGGGGCAATTATTTATTATGTAAAATAATGAAAGGAGAGAATGTGGATATAACTGTAAAACAGTTCGAAAATCAGGCAGATAATTCCTTGCATTTAGATTTTGTCTGTCTAAGATATTTAGAGTGTAATGAACATAAACATTCTTTTGATTTGAACTTAAATTTCCTTATATCCATAGAAAATGTCATTTTCAGAGGATGCTCTGATTTTGATACGTTTTCATTTTTTCACTTATTGTAGTACTCCTAAAAGAAGGAAGGTAGAGAAAATTTTATGTTTAGAGGATGCTCAGATTTTGATACGTTTTCATTTTGTAACTTATTGTAGTACTCCTATTAAGAAGGAAGGTAGAGAAAATTTTATGTTCAGAGGATGCTCTGATTTTGATACGTTTTCATTTTTTTTTCACTTATTGTAGTACTCCTAAAAGAAAGAAGGTAGAGAAAATTTTATGTACAGAGGATGTTCTGATTTTGATACGTTTTCATTTTGTAACTTATTGTAGTACTCCTAAAAGAAGGAAGGTAGAGAAAATGTTATGTTCAGAGGATGTTCTGATTTTGATACGTTTTCATTTTGTAACTTATTGTAGTACTCCATAAAAGAAGGAAGGTAGAGCAAATTTATGTTCAGAGGATGTTCTGATTTTGATACGTTTTCATTTTTTGCACTTATTGTAGTACCCCCAAAAAGGGGAAAGATTATGAATCAAAGTCGTCAGAAGTAAATTTTCATTATACTTCCAGTCTCTGAATTGTTGTTTATCTTTTAATTTTCTTATGTTTAAAAAAAAAAGACTGAGGTATTTGTTTTTGTGAAGGATTCTAAGGATCTGAGGATTCTAAAAGTCATATTTTTGACTTGCAAGACAGCAACATTACATTCATTGGCAGTGGAGAATAGTACTTATAGTTTAGTTCTGGATGCAGGATTTGGCAACGCTAAAGAATGTATTCAGATGTACACTGTAGATCTCATAAGAAACCATGCGCATACCTTCAACAGGTGTCTTCCTTTGTAAATTTCAATAAGCCTTTATAGAAATGTACTTGCTTGAACTCTTGAACTTAAGATGTTGCACCATCTATCTCTATCTCTCTTTCTGTTACACTCCCTGCTATATAAATTAATGTAAATCGTTGCTCTCGTATTTTAAAGGGTCTTGAGAGGATTTATTTTGGCCACAATGCTGTTGCCCGTGGCTTGTCGGTCGTGTCGTTACTCGACCTTTGTGTTTGATGTTTGTGTTTTGTATGTGTGTTAGTTGTATTTATATTGAAAAAATCTTCCACAGGTAGTTCGTCGTCTTTTTTCGCCTCGGTACTCTTGTCTGATGCAGGGTGACATTACTTTTATTTCAATGAATTTTCACGGCCTAGCAAATGATAAGAAAAGAGAAGATGTTTTGTTATATTTGAAATCTAAACAATATGATGTATGTTTTATTCAAGACACCCATTTCACTCCTGACATAGAAACAGAAATATGTCGCAAATGGGGAGGCAAGTGTTTTTTCTCTTATCATACATCCAGCTCTAGAGGAGTAGCAATTTTGTTTAAGGATGCTATTCCGGTCAAAGTTAATCAAAGTAGAATAGACAATGGTGGAAACTTAGTAGTTTTAGATTTGACATTATATGAGTACGACATTACACTGGCGTCTTTATATGGCCCGAACACTGATAATTCAACTTTTTATACTGATTTACAACGTATCATAACAGAGTTCGAAAATCCACATGTTGTTATTTGTGGAGACTGGAATTTAGTGCAGGACCAGACCCTTGATACTCATAATTATGTTCATGTAAATAATCCTAGGGCGAAACAGCAGGTTAAAAATATGAAGGACGAATTAGATCTATGTGACCCATGGAGAATTAGATATCCTCTGAAAAAATATTACACGTGGCGCCAGCCGAACCCTTTTAAACAAAGTAGATAAGACTTTTTTTTATATATCATCAGAATTACTATCATTAGTTCATAAATCTGATATTTTATCTGGCTATCGAACAGATCACTCATTAGTTCGTCTTAGCTTGTCTTTAAATAAAATTAAACGGGGTCCAGGAATTTGGAAATTTAATAATTCTCTATTAAAAGATGAAAATTTTGTGTCAAAAATTATAAAAACTATAAAAGAGACAATTATATTTTATGCAAAAGATGAGGTAGAGTTTGATGAAAACGATAACATAGTTGGAAATTGTGAATTGTCTATCAATGACCAATTATTTTTTGAAACTTTGATAATGCTATTGCGGGGTGAATCTATATCCTATGGCTCGTTCATTAAGAAGCAAAACATCAGTCGGGAAAAGAAACTGGACAGAAATATCGAAGTACTGGAACAAAGACTAGTGACATCGAATGATAAGACCGCATTAATAAAAGAATTAAGTGACAAAAAGTCACAACTTGAAACTTATCGCTTAAAAGTAAATGATGGAATTATCATGATATCTAGAATCAAATGGATGGAGCTGGGAGAAAGGTCATCAAAATATTTTTTAAACTTGGAAAAACAGAATAAAGTAAATAAAGAAATACGGCAATTGTCAACAGAAAATGGAGATGTTATTAGTGGACAAGATGGTATATCTAACGAAATCTTTAAATTTTATTCAAACCTATATAAGGCGAAAGACACTGAAGAGGTAGACATAGACACATTATTAAACTATCCAGATATTCCTAAGTTAACTCCAGAATTGTCCACATTATTAGAAGGTCCTTTGAGTGAAAGTGAGGTTTGTTTATTGCTAAAAAGTATGAAAAATAATAAATCCCCTTGACAAGATGGCTTCACCGTTGATTTTTTTCTTTTCTTTTGGCAATATCTTAAAACGTTCATTATCAGATCTTTGAACATTTGCTTATTTTACAGGAGAATTGTCGCAGTCACAAAAATTAGGAATTATCACTTTAATTTCTAAAGGAAACAAGCCTCGACATTTATTAAAGAATTGGCGTCCTATTTCACTTTTAAATGTTATATACAAAATAGCATCTGGGTGCATAGCTAATCGATTAAAGCAAGTATTGCCCCGCTTGATACATGAAAATCAAAAAGGATTTTTGAAAGGCCGTTTTATCGGAGAAAATATTCGTTTACTTCATGATATATTATTATATAACGAACTTAATGATATTCCAGGCATGTTGTTGATGATTGATTTTGAAAAGGCCTTCGATTGTATATCTCACAAGTTTCTAATCAATGTCCTTGACTTTTTTCATTTTGGGCCATCGCTTAAAAAATGGATTAATCTATGTTATCAAAATGCTTCTTCTTGTGTCACAGTAAATGGTTTTTGCACAGAAAGATTTACTATAGGACAAGGGTGTCGTCAAGGAGACCCATTATCTCCATATCTGTTTTTACTTGTTAGCGAAATATTAGGAATTTTGATTAGACATTCCAATGATTTAATTGGCTTGCATCTACAGGGAAAAAATTGTAAACTACTACAATACGCAGATGACACCATTTTGACACTTAACGGTACAAAAGAAGATTTACAGAGCTCACTAAAAATATTGGGTGATTTTGAAGAAATGTCAAACCTAAAGATCAATATTACAAAAACTCATGTGATATGGATTGGGAAAAATAGAGCCTGCAAAAAACAGCTAATGCCAGAGCACAAACTAAATTGGGTATCAGAAGGTTATTCGAGATACTTAGGAATAGATTTTTCGGTTAACTTAGTAGAGATGGTAAATCATAATTATACTGAAAAAAATAAAGATATAAAAAGCCAAATTATTTCATGGTCCAAACGAACCTTAACTGTCCTCGGAAGAATAACTGTAGTCAAATCTTTGTTGGTGCCAAAATTAAACTATTTGTTGCTTTCACTTCCAGAACCGAATTCGCAAATTATGAAAGATATAAATCGTTCTTTGTATGCATTTATATGGGGTAACAAACCTGATAAAATCAATAGAGAACAAATGTGTCAACTGTATAATAAAGGTGGGGTTAAGATGATTGATATTTACATGCATGCTAAATCCCTGAAAATATCATGGATTAGAAGATTTGTAACTAATTCTCAGATAGAAAGTTTCACTTTTCACATGTTCAATTCATTCTTGCCCCAAACCTATTTTTCACCTGTAAATGGGCTCACATTATTTTAGAAAATTAGCAGACTTGACTCCAAATCCATTTTGGAAAGAGGTCCTTTTCGCTTGGTCAGACTTGGTCGAACTTCTTATTGACGACATTGCAAGTCAACCTCTCTGGAATAACCCCCACATTAAAATAAATGACAAAGTGGTATTTTGGGGGGCTTGGAATTTACGAGGAATACGTTTTGTGAATGACATCCTAAAAATAGATGGTTCTTTTTGTTCATATTTTGAGTTTCAACGGAGATTTGACATACAAACAAATTTCCTCCAGTACTATGGTCTTTGTAGTGCAATTCGGTCAGGTTTTAAAATGACTACACATGTAGCTCCTAGTAAGGCCTTAGCACCTATCATTCCCGAAGCCGTGCACCTTGTGGTGAAAACACATGTTGGTTGTTCACATATTTATCAGTCTTTGCTAAAAAAACAAAGTAAAAGAATGTAAAGCTCTTACAAAGTGGAAAAGTTTTTTAGATTTTCAAGATGTACTTTGGGCTTCGTACTGTCAAATTCCATTTCAGTCAACAATAGATATCAACATGAGGTGGTTTCAAATCAAGATTTTAAATAGAATATTATATATAAAGGACAGTTTGTTAAGATTTGGTGTAGTGGCTGACAAGAAGTGTACTTTTTGTAGTAACAATGATGAAACTATCATACATGCTTTTTGCTTTTGTAACTATTCTAATGAAGTAAGGTCGAAGTTAGAGTTCTGGATATTTCGTAATACGGGGAAAAGGATCAAATTTACAAATCAAAATAAATTGTTTGGATTTTGCGGTAGCAATAATAATGCACTCAACTGTGTTCTGGTGGTTGTAAGACAAGAAATATTTTCAGCTAAATTACGAAATCAACTACCATAATTTGATATAATTTTATCAGCTGTAAAACGTTATTATGAAATGGAAAAATATATATACCAAACAAATCTCAGAGAGAATAAACTAGAAAAGAAATGGTTTCACTTTAGAAAATATTTTGAGAGTGTTGGAAATGTTTGGTATTTTTTTTAAATTATATATTTAAAGTACAAATTTTGTCATAAATGTTTGTTTTTATCTGCCACAACAGTTTTTGGCCGTGATGATTATTATCTGTGTCGAGCCATTATGTATGGAAATTATTTCTTTAATTATTTGTATACGATATATGGATGTTCTGTATATAATGAAATTTGTTTTGAAAATAAAGAACCCTGTGGAAGGGGGGAAAAATATATATATATATATTTATTTATTTATTATTTTTTTATTCAAGTTTTATTTAAAATAGAGGGTAGGTACATTCATAACAAAACACATAAATAATATTCAGGTGATCGGTACACTTTAACCGTTCATGTAATCATCTACAAATGGATGTAATTAACATCTTCTTTCCATTTCTCTCTTTTTAACTCAATTTACACATTATTTTTATGTTGCAGGCTTCTTGGCTGTGGTACAAACGCAGACGGTAGACTAAGCCGTCACATCACTGGTCTTCACAATCCAAAGAAGTCACTCAGGGTGATTACCTTGCATGTAAGTTACTTACTTTAGTATATAGATTGCTACATGAATACAAGGGTTCTGGGACAATTAACTATTGGACAATCATCCCCCGGCCAATTACAAAAGGGACAATTAATCCTCTAACCCTAATAAGGCCGGGGGGGGGGCATTATGCCCCCCCCCCTCCACGATTTTTCCGATTGCTCGGGAACGCATATGGATGGCGCCCCGCCGCTCGCTGACTTTTTTCTTTCGAGGCTTGCGCAACTTTTGAAATAATTTTTTTGAAAATCGGACCTACGGTTACAAGGTCACGTGACCTTTTGTCTTTGCATGTCAGCCTGAAAATCGCTCATTTTCGTGATTTGTGTACAAAACATACGGAAAAGTCATTTTTCCTAAAAACAAATCAAACATGGGTTATTGGGTCTTGTTTAAAGTTTAGGTGGTTATTTTTGAAGTCAAAATAGTTGAATTGTAGTAAGAAATGAAATAAAACAACAAAAACAATGAAATACATAAGTTAAAAAAACAATAAAATACATAAGAAATTATCAAAACAAGGGATAACATAAGGAATAAGCTGGCTCTTCCAAATTTTTTTTGTCGTATTGTTATTGAGAATGGTCTAATGAATATATGTAGTGAAAAAGAATGCTTAAATATGAATAAGATATGATTTATGGGTAAAAATGTGATTTTTATGACTTTATTTGCATAAATTACCATAAATATGCAAATGAGTAAATTTTTCAAAAAATTGAAATTATCATATTATTCTATACACTTCACTTGACATGCGTGCAAATTTTGGCGGCAATCGGCCGCTTTGCGGCCGATATCTTAAGGGGGGGCCATAATGCCCCCCGGCCCTACTAAGACCTCAAATAGCCCTGCCTTTTTAGGGTTAAGGACAATTACCCCCCCCCCCCCCCCTGAAAATTACACTCTCGGACAATCATCCCCTCCCCAGGACAATTAACTCCCGAAACAATTTAAACCGAAGTATTATCACGGGTGAACTTTAAAGGTGGTAATTTTCCAGGGGGGGGGGGGGTAATTATCATAGGGGCTAATTTTTAGGGGTAGGGGGTAAATGTCCTCGAGGGTAATTTTCGGATGGTAATTGTCCTTAGGGGGATGTTGTCCTTGGGGTAGTTTTCCGGGCGTGATTGATTAGGGGGTTAATGTCCTGATACGGAATGCAAGTACATCTTTAAACAGTGTAACATAAATTTATTTAAATGTATATCATGTGTATATCGTGCTTGAAAAATATAGTAGCATCCTTTTTATTGTTATAATATATTGGATGTAGGTGCTGCATGTACATGTAAACTACAATATTATAAGATTATGCTTTCGATGACCCTACATTAACAAAAGATTGACAATAAAATTGAAAACATAAAAACAAACCGTGAATTGCCGGTATGTTCAGGGCCATCCACCAACCCACCGCTCCGTCATATCATGCAATAAAGAGACAGGTGTGTACATGAAAAAATGAGCCATTCGCAGATCAAAATTTAATGTATGTAATACAAAGAGATTGATCTATTGGCCATATTTATTTATATCATCTTTACCGTTTTATTTAAAGCAGGCTTTCCTCTTTAGTTAAAAAAAAAAAACTGCTATCCCTGAGCTCTCCACAATAAAACAACGCATATAATTTATGTGTCGACCTGGTTAACTCATAAATAGCACACTAAACAAAGATAGGGAAAACAAAGATTAATAACATATAAACAAAGATATAATATTATGAATTCAAGATATTGTAAACAGTTACTAATTTTGAGCATATAGTATGATCAAAACATTCAGTCGGTAAATTATTTAATTGTCCAATAACTGATTACAGCCATTGAAAACAAAATGAGGTAATACACAGGAGAATAATAGATGGGGATAGATTGAGGAAAAGCAAAGAAAGCTGGTAAAGATAGAGCGAACGAGGAGAAGAGAGAAAGAGAGGAAGAAGGAGGGGGAGGGAGAACAATGTACGTGGGTATTACATGAAACATGAGTCAGCTAAAACGGATGCCTCTAGAAAAGTGTACATGTACTTAACAGAATACACGAGGGGATGAAAGAGATCAGAGAAGGAGCTAGAAAGAAAGGAACAAAAAGAGAAAGGCAGCTAAACATTTGAGTGATGGGACTTATATCTGCTCGGCATTTAAGTGATTCCATTGTTTTGTACGGAAATCCATTACTATATTTTGCCAGAGTTACACAGGCGAATGTTGCTGTCTGACTTGTTAATTTTGCATATAATTTTCAAATGGGAATAGCTTATCGGTCGATTTTAATCAAGAAACATTGTTTTACAGCTTAATTAATATCTTGACATTGTGAGGGAGTTATACTACATAAAGATGTTTGTGGAGTCATTGTACGTTGGGACTTCATCACAGCAAAGTTCAAATGTGTTTATATTTTGTGTAAAGTTTGCGTAATGTTTATTCTGGCTACGTGGATCTGAAGTTGTTGTTGTTTTTTTTCTTCTTTTTATTACAACCCGTAACCTTCTTGTCGTAGAATAACGGACAAAGGGCTCTCAATTAGACCAGACATTTTGTTACAGAAAGATACATTCAGGGAGATAATGGTTTCGTGAAGTGGAGAGTACGTGTATGTAAAAAGTCTACACACTTATTTTGCGCCCTTTTCGGCGCGTTTGAGAAAGCTCGGTATGAATGATCGATGTTACTTTACTTATCTGATAATTAAGATTGTGTATTCATGGATGTGTTTGGAAAGTGAATTTTACAATCGCATCGAATAAACGGGCGGCTCCTAGTCGTCGGGCAAGCAATAACTAATAGTTTACAGTGTATAAGTGTGTTCAATGTGTTTAGAATGCACGTAAGGTTCTAGCTCTGGGATAAGGTTTTAAAGGGGTGAATGGATTAGGAAAAATTTGAAGAAGTTATAAAATAGAACACTCGTTTCATGAGGGGAGAGGGCAGTGATTTTTGTAAAGAACATGTATAGCACTAATTTAATAGAATAGTTTTTTGGAAGGCTTCTGAACTCTAATGTCAACTTAAAATCGAAGGTGCATTCCTATAAATTCTACTCATTTCCAATATGTGTTGTTTATTATGTGGCTGACATATTAAATTACTTTCTAATTCCAGGATGATGGTCAACTCCTTGTAGAGAAATGCCAGCTATCTACCGAGATGACCGAGAAGTTGTGGTCCTGTCTTAGATCATTCACCTCACTGAACCATCTCACCATCTCAGACTCCTCTCTCAGTTTCCCTCCATCTCCTCCCGAGCTTCCATCCGTCACAAAGCTATCAGCTAAGAGAGTGACGTCACAAAGCTACGAAGGTCTGCTCTCATCGCTCCCTGGCTTGAGTGATATCGATATTACTATCGATGATGCAGAGAGAGACATACCTCAGATCACGGCTGGTCTTCGTCGGATCAGAGGACAGCAGCTCACACGCATCAGACTTAGAGCACCGTACACACTCCCATCAGAGAAGAACCGTGTATCGAGAGAGACGATGAGAGGACTGGGTCTTCTGATCAGAGAACAAACCAAGAAGCTAGAGCAGCTAGAACTGTACTGGGTGAAGTGCACAGACGAGGAAGACTTGGTTTACCTCATCGAGTGCTGCAGACCGTGCGTGAATATGATGTCACACGTGTGGTAGGTTCTTGTTCAAATCTAGTATAAAATAAATTCAAATCGTACTAGATGATTCTATTCAGTTACTCTGCAGTAGTAAAGCATAATGAAGGGATGAAATGCGTGAAGGGATGAAAAAGGTTAAAACGTAGGTGTAACTTCCAAGTTTTTGACTGACAGTTAGAATGGGTTTTGATTATCGCTCTCAAATGTTATTTTATAATTTTTAAGTAGCAATGAATAGAATTTGAATGCCTGTATTGAAAATCCAAAATTGTAATATGCAGTTGAATGTATTATTAATATTATGCACCGTCGGAAACTACCTAATTTAATGTAATTCAATGTCCCGGGGTCCATGTTGACTTAAAATACAAACCATATCCTTATAACATTAATTAATATTATTATTACTATTATAATTATTACGATTATCATTATTATCATTTTAACATTCTAGCCCATAATTCGACTTATAATTTTTGAATTTTAAAAGCTTAAACAATGCCAAACTAGGGGAAATTACTAGTTTTCACGACCCCCCCCCCCTCCCCGCCGGAGGTTGATTCATCATCTAAAATTAATTTCGATTTTAAATATCTTCAGGCCCGTAGCCAGAGTTTGATTTTTTTTTTTTTTAATTTATTGATTGATTGATTGATTGATTTTTTAATTATTATTATTATTATTATTATTATTATTATTAATATTATTTTTTTTCGGGGGGGGGGGCAGGCACATAGACCTAGATCTACATTGATCAAAGTCCTGAGGAGGGGTCTAACAAAGTTCAACAAAGCCCCACCCCCTCCCCAGTGGCTACGTGCCTGAATATTTTAGAAAATATATTTGTTATTAAAGGCTGAATCATTTTTGCCTTTAAACTGATGCTCGTGAGCTGTTTCATCGAATCAAATTTAAGCTAGATTCGATCTTGATAAATGTTAGGTTAAATGTAAAGGGCTCTGTGATCAAGGCTAGTCGATGTTAGGTCAACCACACAAATGCGTCGCTTAACTACTGCAAGAGAGGTCCTCAAAAAGTAAGTAAATTCCATTTTCTTCTAAAATATTCATTCTGTTGAAAACAAATTTTGGTGGAAGGAAAGTATTCTTCTCATTTTTAACCGAACGATATTTGACATAAATATCAATACTAGTAATAATAGGGTCTAGCGTTCCCCAACTTCTGAGCTAAAAATAAGATGGACGAATTGTATTTGGTTCATGCATTTCCGTCCCATTCATTACATCCATGCATGTCCAACTTTACTTGTCTAACGACATTGAATATTTGGTTATGACAGGTCTGAATTCATTAAGAAATATAGTTTATTCTTGCGTTTGATGACAAAATAAATAAGTCCACCACGGCTTTAGAAATCATCGCGTTGAATGGTCGCCGATAAAAAGTCTAGGTCTAACGTTAGTGCGTAGAATTTAGGCCTAGGTCTAGATCTAGGCTATAAATTGAGGTTAAGGCTCAGTTTCCAAATCTAGACTAGATCTAGGCCTACTTTGTTATTTACCGGTAGGCAGTGCGGTAGCCCCCTTTTCATGTTGATAATAACATTAACAATCGACGGGGTCATTGTTTCAACGTAAACATTTTATGAAAGAAAAAAAATTGTCTCCACAGTTTCAGACCCAAGACCAAGTTAGATCTTGATTAAGAATAAGATCTTAATGTAGATTTGGTCTGCATCATTATACTAGATCTAGGGACTTAGGGTCGATGTAGTCTAGATCTAGTCTCTACACTGCACCTTTTGTGCAGGATTAACTTAGATACATCAGAATTTAGAGTTAGTCCCTTAGTCCTAGATCAGCTAGACTAGACCTACTTGTATGTTTGTGAGATCTAAATTAAACAGGAGTTAGATCTAGTGTACATCTAACAGTAACAAGTTCGATTTTAGACTAGATATAGAATGTTATGTAGTAGAGTCTAGGCTCATGTATCGAGCTCTATATTTTGTTTTTCTTCATTTCTTTTTTCTTTTAGAGTCAGAGATGGAGTGGACCTGGACTCTTGAGTCATATCCAAGAAATAGACCTCTATAGTCTTCAACGTCTCTCATCCTACCTCTGCCCCGAGGAAAGGATATGGATCTGCATAATGTAATCTGATTCAAGGTGTACTGCAAGATCATAGGCCTACTAAGTGGCCTTTTCATGTGATTATCTTAGCAAAGTTTGAACACCGACATGAAATAAGGGTGAGGTTCTTTTTCTTCTTCATGTTCTAGATCTACATAGAAATAAAGTACTAACTTTTTGTTCAGTTTATAGTCTTTTATATTCATTTATGATAAAGGGTTAAGATACCGGATATTGGATTTTTTAAATAAGAAAACTGAAAATGTTGTGTTCTTAATCTAATAGGAAGCCAACCATGACAGGTCAAAAACATAAATACTTGATCAGCCAGATTTTGATCAATTGTGCATAGAATAGGGCAACAGTGAAAGTATAAAGATGTGATTGAACAAACTCTAATTAGCATATTCATGATGTAAGCTGTTTTCTGTTCGTTATATACCATTTAAGGCATCTCTTTTACTTCTATTCCCCAGAGAGTAGTTTTAATCAAACTCTGTACAATAGGGTTCGGTTCAAGATCAGAGTATCCATGATTAAGATTTGACTGTTGTTAGTTTGATATTACAAATAAAAGCTCTAGTTCAAGATCAAGATTTTAAAGAAATGTTTGGGATCATAGTCAAAAGCAAGATAAGTCCAGAGTGTATTAGAAGTTTCCACATTACACAGTCCACCATTTTAATTACAATTAGAATCACTGACGAAAATATGCTTTTGTTCAGTTGAACACATTAGATTAAGTAAAGTGACAACTATTTTTCTGAGAAACATATTTGCTTTCTTCATGAAATATGTTTATCTCCGTTTTCAATCTTAGGTTGCAAAGTAAAGAGCTGTAGCATCTACATGAACTGCAAAACTCATGGCACCTGGACTTTCATACCTAAGGTCTTATTCATCTCTTCAAGTTGAAAAGGTAAGGGTTTCAGTTTACCGGTAAACATAATTGATCGTATTAGTATGTTCTGTGCCTGTCATCATTGCTATGTCCCTACAGTAATGAAAGAGAAAAAAAAACGAAAGAGTAAGTACAGTTTCCATAGTCCTTGTTAGAGATCTAATTCAGATCTTACCCAATCTATTGTATAAAACATACACAAATGGTTATGAGATTTTTCTTTTCCAAAGCCTAAAAATAAATTATTTATTATTTTTTCTTAACTTGAACTGCTTTTGTATCAATATTTTCAAAGAATGTTTTATATCATTCTACTTTATTCATTTCCAATCAAAGAAATTGACATGATCAGAAATACAAAAGTTGTAGAAAGATTGAACAATTACACTAGTAGTTATTAATTGTTTTATTGCATAACTGTTTATTCCAGATTCTAGACTGCAGAGCCTGAATTCCCTGCAACATTATGCTTCATCTGGAACATCAGCCAGCCTACAGATACAAGCTCCCTTTCCAGCTCTAAGCAAGAGGGACCACAATGCTAAACAGTTCGTGGACATGTCGCTTTTTTCAACTACGACTTTCCATGAAACAGACTTTCAAATTAATTCAGCTAAAGCTATAAAATATATTTCAGTCAGGGTACCATCGGTTTGCCATCAGTTTGCCATGAGTATGAGATTATTGGTTTGATAAGAATTTATCAAGTAAGGTCTAAAGGAACTAAGATTTCAATGAAAAATCCAAGAATTTTATTATTTTAAATAGAATGTTAGAATCTTGCAGAAGAAAGGACAAAATACTAGCTTTAATTGAAGGATAAAACTAAAGTCATTATCCATATTAAGTTAGCGCTGCTATTTCAGCCTGCACTTTCAGCCTGCACTTTCGAGAAATATTTTATTAAGGGTTGTTGCTGATTTTAAAATCTATGATTCTGTCATGGAGGTTTACTGTTTTTAAACTTACTTTACATAGACAAATCCGTTCATGGTGATGAATCTTAAAATATCAAATCGGAAATTTCAAAGGGGCAAATTAATCTGAGCAGCAGTGGAGGTTTTGTTGGCATGACCATGTGTTGATGATTACCTGTTAAAACCTCAATTGAATATTTTTATCATTTGCCTAAGAACAGCATCAAAATAAACAACTGAATAATGTCACTGCGGTGAAAACATTTTGGCAGGAAATTATATCAACTCGGATTTATATTGTCCTTAGAAAATGTTCAAATCTGATAGAGAAAATCTATAATTAACTTCATATAGACAAACTGGTGTATCATGAAAACACATTTTCACAAACTGCATGACCTCACATGAGAATGTTGTATATGCCTTAGATTAACAATAGGTAAGACCAATCTTTAGCACATATGTTATTCCTTTAATCTCCATCAAATTACACCGAGTAGACAGTGGTATTTATTAGCTGCAATGGCTTACAACTGGCTGTATGTCATGAAAGGAATTTTTTCCAGGCGAGAAGGGAAATGTACTACTCAAAGGAAATGTACTACTCTAAGGTCAATTAGAGGTATCCAAGCGTAGGATGCATTATTGCATACATTTACATTTAACGCACACAGTATATGGGGGTTTTGATATGCATGATTTTGGGTTGGCTATTTAATGTAGAGATAAATAGAAATAGCTGGATGCCAAAGAGGTTTTGAATGTGAAGGACCTGGAAAAGAAAGGGTAAAGGGATGTTGCTGTAGAATAATGGGAAGAACCCTTCAAGTCAGTGCTATGGTGCAGACGTTTAATGCACGAGGTAGTTTTATTTAGTGGCAGAAACATTATTCTTGAGAAAGATTGTTACGTCTGGTCGAGATAAGCTGTCAAGTCGGCGGGGATTCTACGCAGTCTAGAGACTGGCCAAGTGACCAGGGAAGTCATCGACAGAGATCGAGATGAGCTGTCAGGTCGACGAGGATTCTACGCAGTCTAGAGACTGGCCAAGCGACCAGGACCAGGAGGGACTCACGAGCTGGAAGCTGTACTGTTACAAAGTTATGTT